ACTCCCATGCTTGCATTTTGTCTTTTTCTATATGGACAGTTATGGTGTGTTTTGCTATGTTTTTAGTGCAGCAGGAGGTATTGGGGCAACTTTTGCTTTTTATCTAAATTTTGGATTTATACTATGCTGTGAGAAATTGAGATGTATCTTTTTTGGGGAAAAATATTGTAAATTTCAAAATCTTTCTATGTAAGGAATAATTACTTAAATATTTTTATAGTACTCTGGGTTTATCTGAAAATTTAGCTTGAAGTTTGATCAGCTTTCTCATGGAAGGGAAGATTGAGAAGAGATCTTACCAGCATGTATGACCTGAGGGGAGAATGTAAAGAGCAGAGGGCCAAGCTCTTCTCATTGGTGGCCAGTGACAGGACAAGGGGTAATGGGTATAAGTTGCAACACAGGCAATTCCATTTCTATGTGAGGAAGGTCTTCTTCCCTGTGAGGGTGACAGAGCCCTGGCACAGGCTGCCCAGGGAGGCTGTGGAGTCTCCTTCTCTGGAGATCTTCCAAACCCACCTGGATGCCACCTGCTGGAGCAGGGGTTGGACTGGATGATCTCTAGGGGTCCCTTCCAACCTCAACCATCCTGTGACTCTGTCACACATATGAACATGAAAAAAAAAATATTGAAATTTAATCTTTTAGTTGGATATTCCCACTTGGAATAACCAAGTTTGTAAAGGAAAAATACACTAAGGCCTTTCAATGACTGATGTGTTTGAATTCACTGATGTACTTTTAATTATACTGATAACTTCATTTTCTAAGATTGAATGCTTTGTAACTTGACATAAGTCTGAGTAATGGTGTAAGTTATATGAGAATAAAAAGTTTTGTATTCTGATTCTGAACAGCTTCTCACACCTCCAGGCTTCTGTAAATTGGTTATGATCTTTATCACATATTGTTGATTTGCTTTTTTGGTTCCTGCTTGCTGCCAATAAAATACATATTTCCTTTTTTACTATCCTCATATGTTCTAAAATGTATAAATACCTCTCTTATTTAAGGAAGATACCTTGTGTGCAGGAGGAAGGTAGTCAAGCACTTGGGACACAGTGAATGTTCCTGCCTGTCTCACGCATATTTTCCTCAGTGATATGTGCCTAAAAAAAAAGTATTCTAGTTGAGCTGTTTTCACAGAGATAATCAACAGCTAGAACAGACACCTCTGCTTATTTAATAACCCTCCAAATGGCTAGTGAACTGCACTAAACTAGAATGTATTATAAACAAGGAGCCTGTGTCTTTGTTGCCTTGTAATGACTGTTTTAATCTAACCTCAGAACCAGATGAAGGTAGGTATCATTTTTATTTCAGATAAACGGTCTCAGGGCAATTAGCTTTACCGTTTGTGTTTTAAGCAGAAGCTCTTGTGTTCCTCAGAAATGTGTATGTTCTTTAGCTAATGACTATAATGTGTATAAAATATATATATGTGGTGATCATGTGCATTGATAAATTATATTTACCATGCACCTTTGAATGCCTCACCTGCACTTTGCCTCATTAATCTATCTCTCCCAGTATTTATTTTAACATTCCAAACTTCCGAGTCACTTCAAACAGCTGGGACTTCTTTTTTTTTTTTTTTTTTTTTAACCCGTGTCAAGGATGTATTTCATTCTTTTCTCCCAACAGGGGGATTTTTCGTTTTAATACTGTCCAAAAGACCAAATGATAATACTGTGTATTTCACCCTAGCTGTGATATCTCATTAAGGTGCAAAGTATAATGAGGGGCTTTTACAACACATACCAAGAAAGAGAAGATGGATATAGTTCTAAAGGAACAGTCAGGGAATTGAGTTTCCCAATATTTGGAATAAATATTCAAATTCTGAAGTCATGACACTCTTACCTGTAACAGTGCAATATTGGTGACTTCCAAAAGTTTCAGATAATTTCTGGAATTCCAAAAGGTTTATAATTAGTAGTTCTCTGAGAAAAGGCAGCTGAATCAGCTATCCATGTAATACTTCTATCAAGACTATGAAAAATAACCCAAATATTTTTTTTATCAAATATTTTTCTTTTATTAAGTGAAAGAGAGTAGCTATCTGTATACAGAATATCTGAAGTACTATGATACTTTTATTGGCATTCACTGCCATTTATATTGTGACTATTTTAAATAAAAATTACTTAAAAGGTAATTCAAAAGTTGGTGGGTAATGGTTCTACTGGTGCAGTTTGTGCATATTATTTACTTGCTTTCATCTTTCCTTTTATATTTATTTTTACACATCTATCTTCTATACCTTCCCCCATGATTCTCTCATATGCCATTTTTTCACCTTAATATATTTTTTACAGCTTCTCCAATATTATATTCAACTTGGGCCGTAAGTCTGGGTGTGCACAAGAACTAAGACACAGATTCTTTCACAGAAGAGACTGCCTCTGCTGCTGGTATAAACACTAAGATCATTTTAAAAAGACAGTTTTTTACCACTCTCGAAGCGCAAGACAGAAATACAGCTTGGCCAGCAATAGCATACAGAAAGTCAGAACTATGAATAACGATGCTGTCAGACTTCTTCCACTCGAGCTTCTTCCACTGTACCAGAACTGCTACATTTTTCAGCATTGAAATAATTAATAACGTTGACATCTAGGGAAGTGTTAGCACAATTGATGGCAGAAAATAAATAAAATTTCTCCTGTATTTTCACTTGACAAGAAAGGGAGGAAGCGGAATGATGAAAGACTCACATGAGTTATGAGGCAGACTCACGGTGTGACCGTGGGCGCTCCTGGCCAAGGCTCCTTGCTGCATCCCCTGAGACTTCTCTTTTAATCCACTGAGTGCTGACTCATTTGATAAGGCAATGCTAAAAGTAATGTAAGACTAATTCCGACAGGGAAGCATCATTATGCAGAGGGGTAAATCTGCTTTGTACTTAGGAGATAGTGTCCTATGCTAGAAAATGTAAAACACACATCCAAAAAGATGGCACAACGCTCAAAATCTGCAGATTATAAATCATGAATAAAAGATTTTGAACACCTACTATAAATTAGTTTGTTAATTCAGATTATTTATGTCAGTGGGATTTCATTTTAACATCTGAAAAAAAATGCATTCCAAGCTAAAAGGAAGATAGAGAAAATTTCCATTTAGTGACTTTGTGCTTTTGCACGAAGCAAGAGAAAATTTGCTGCTTCTCCAGCCAGGACTATAGTCAGTAGCTCACTACCCACTGCACTTTCAAGGAAGAAGTAACTACAGAGCAGTACAAACTCTGGGAAGGGTGAGGTTTCTTTTCCAAATAAACCAATCCTTTCAGCTCCTGTTACCTTCTCAGAGAGGAAAATATTGGAGCCATTTCCCACAAGCTCTTGGTTGGAGTCAGCAAATGCAGAAGCAAGAAACAAAATAAAATAGAACAAAAAAATGATGAAAAAATCAACAGTGGAGAACCACGAAGCAAAACTGTAGCACAATTTCTCATCTGTGGTTCATACATACACAGCATCTTGGTGGACAGGGTGGTAGATGCTGACCAGGTCAGGCAGATGCTCAGCAGGTTTCACACTTACTCTTAAACTGATGAGAAAAAGGAAACCTAGAGGGTTTTATTCTAGATGGATCTAGATGGATGCACCATGGAAAGAGGTGTACCCCAACCCTCGGAAACTGAACTAACACTATTTCTTACGTTCAACAATTAACAATTGCTAACAAACTATCACATTCACCAGTGGTCTATCAAATGTCCTTATCGTTTTGATTCTCCTGTGGAATTACCTACTCCCTCAGGTTACATACACAGGATCAAAACTTATTTTATTGAATTCCCACAGGACCGCACAGCAGGTGTCCTCCACCCGTTTAACTCAACAGTCGCCAGCAAAGAGCTTGGTTTGCCACTAACGCAGACACCTCACAACGCGGATGCTCCGGCTAGCACCCCTGGGGCACTAAGGCCCCGCTACGCGAGCACCGCACACCGCGACGCGGGCACGCGACGGCCGTTAACGGCCGCGGGCGCCC